ATGTTGAAGGAAGAAGAGATAGAGGAAGACCAAAAAAGAGATGGAGGGATGCTATTGAATGCGATTTGAGGACAGCTGATGTGAGCGTAGAAGATGTGGGAGATCGTGTCAAGTGGAAGCTTAGGATAAGGGTGCCCGACCCCAAGTAGTTGGGATTAAGGCAAAGAAAAAGAAAAATATTACCAGATATTCCGGTGGCAATTGACATAATATGATTGTTATTTCGGAATGTACAATTTAGCGTTTAGTTGGGTTTAAATAATATAGCGTCAAATCAATTACCTACTCTATCGGTTGTATCTCAATATACACTACACTTTAATGATACAATAAATAAATAAACTCACACATACACACATATGCATTTATAACATTGTGTCTAATGTAAGTATAACATGATAAAAAGTAACCGTAAAATGAAAAAAATGGAATATAAATTTTATTACTCATATTAAATGTAATGTAACTCGAAAAATATTTGTTTAAATGAAAAAATATAAGATTATATTTTTATTTATAATTGTCTTTTAAACAACTTTTGTGCGAAACTTTTTTTTGTAAGTTAAATATTTTTTTTTGAGAAAATTAAGAAAGCTCATATTTTTGAACTTTTGCGAGGATTTAAAAAAAAAGCTCAATTCCAATCTTGAGGACTATTAGTATGTCATTATACATATTTTAATTCAACTTTTAAAAAAACAAAATTTTTTCCGCAATTTTTCCTTTGTTGACAGGCCTAGATGTCAATTTTAAACTTGTAATTGAGCTAAAAGTTATGGTAATATATTCAATTTATTTTACTATAAACTTTCATAAATCTTTATCAAAAATTTTTCATCAACTTTAAAGAACCAAAAAAATAGGTTAAAATTGAAAATTTGGACTGATTATTTTTAACATATTAAAAATCAAATCAGTAATAATTTGAAAACAAATTTTTTTTTCTTTTAATTATTATTTTATATATATAATTAGTAATAATATAAAAAATTAGAAGTGATAGAAATAGTCTACTTGCAGATTTGAAAACAACGCGAAAATTTGATTTAGAAAAGTATATTTTTGCTTCTGATGAAAGTTCCTTGTAGTCCAGTGCATTTTTTTATAGTAACAAACAGTTTTTATTGAAAATTATTGTATCAAGCCCTTTAAATTTTTATACACGTAAAAGTAAAGCAAAATATAACTTCTTTATTATTTTTATAATTTCTCCGTTTAAATTACAATATTAAATATCAATTTCATACTAAATTTAATAATTATAATTAGTATATATTCAAATATTATATTTTAAAATCAAAGAACTACTAATCATGATATAATTAAAGAAATAAGAGTTGATGTTGCTTTTGGAATAATCCACCAATTGCCTAATTAAAACAAAAAAAAAAAAAGTTTGTTGGGAATTTTTTCTGCTATTCTGCAAAATTACTCCTTCGTTGACTAGAATGAATCATTAAATAGAAAATTTTATGAGAATTAAAACAATGTTATTTTTAAGATTAATATGCAGTCAGAAAGTTTTATAATTATTATTTATTGTAAATTTATCAGAAAAACTCATTATTTTTTGCATTTTTATCGTAATAGAACACTTAAATAGAAATCATAGTAATCATTTCTAAGTAATTTTTGATATTTAAAAAGATTCTACTATTGAAATATCCAGAACTGAATTAATTTTAATGATTTACTTTAACTAAAAAAAAAAAAGTTAATATTTTGAATCCCTCTTGTGGGCAGGTAAAGGGTTAGATTTATAAAAAAAACCAAATGATAGATAAAGACATGCATCTAAATAAAAAAAAATATACTGATTTGGTCATTTTTGATAAAGTTATAACAATTAACAAAGTTATAAGTTTTATACACTGGACTACAAGGAACTTCCATCAGAAACAAAAATATACTATTCTAAATCAACTTTTCGCGATGTTTTAAAATGTGCAATTAGACTTTTTCTATAACTTCTAAGTTTTAATATTATTAAAAAATAGTTTTTACATATAAAAAAAAATAATTAAGAACAAAAAAAATTGTTTTAAATTAATACTGATTTGATATAATATTTAATATTAATTTGATTATTAATAAGTTAAAAATAAGGAAAATGACATATTTAACCTATTTTGTTAATCGTTTAAAGTTGATTGTTGTAAATGTTTATAATAAAAAAAAAAAATTTATTTTACCATAACTTTTAGCTCAATTGGTAAGTTTGACATTGACATAATTAAATAGAAAATTTTATGACAATTAAAAAAATTGTATCGTTAAGATCAATATGCAGTCAGAAAGTTTTATAATTACTATTTATTGTAAATTTATCAGAAAAGCTCAATATTTTTTTGCATTTTTATGGTAATAGATAACTTAAATAGAAGTAATAGTAATAATTTCCTAGGAACTTTTGTTGTTTGTTGAAAAGATTCTATAATTGAAATATTGAGAACTTAATTAATTTTAATGATTTACTTTAACTAAATGTACCAATCAAAACAAAGTTGTTAAAAAGATTTACTCAATTGAGTGTATTATAAAATTTGATTATATTTGTAAAAATCAATTGTTAATTCAGGAGAAAAAACAATCATTTTTTTTAGAAATGATTTATATAGCAACATGTTACAAAAAAAAATTGTAATATTATAGTCTAGTAGTAGCACACACAAATAGAGTAAAAAAATTATTAAATTACAAAGTAAAATGATTTAATTTTGTAGTTGAAACCTATCATATCAAACTTCATTCGTTAATAAATATTTTGAAAACATTAGAAATTAATGATTTTAATTGTCTTTATGGAGACGATGTAATAACTAACTGTTTAATTGATAAATTAGAATTTTTTTTTCAATTTTTGAGAGTAATATCTTCAACTAGATACGAATTGTAGTAATTTGACGTATTGTTGAAAAAAGTAGGTCAAGTTAGAGCAGAGAAAATAAATGATAGTCACAAAAAAATATCTTCTCGGCTTTGCATCGAAGCGAAAACTTAAAATATAGTAAAATAATTTTAATACGAATAAGAAATTTCTTCTTGCAAGGGGCGACTAAAGTGATGGGATCCTTGATCTTTATTGAAGTTATTGAATCTAAATGTGATAAAAATCAAACGAGTTAAAATTTATACTAACTTAAAAAGAATTAAGAAAAAATGCAAAAAATTCATTGCCATATGCGGGTTGGAACCTCGTACCCCAAGCGTGTAAAACATAAATTTTACCAACTCGGCAACCGTACGTTGCTTCCGGCGGTTGAAAAATTGGCTATTTAAGCTAGTTCAAATTTCAAAGTTATTTTTCTCGACTTAAAAGAAACAAACATATTTAAATAAGTTTAACTATCTATACTATATCAATTTTAATTTATATAATATTTATGAAAATCTGTACTCCCCTTGTCAGGTATTTTAAAATAAAATAAAATACAAAACCCAGAATTTTAACACAAAAATAGCATATTTTTGCATACGGTAGTCATTTTTACCATGAAGACAAATCCAGAGGTCAAATTTTTTTTTTTCACATTAAAGTATATTACATAAGCTTTAATTTAAGATATATTTAAAAGTGTCAGTATTTCCGGAATACTTTCAAAAATTAAATTGAAAATATCGTAGTAACAATACGCATGTTTAAAGTTTTGACCCCCCTTGTTAAAGGGGTATGATCCGATTTACAAAAAAAGCGTGCCAGATGAAAGGGGTATATCAATATTTATTATAAAAAAATAATAATATAGATCCATACATTTTTCCAAAAGTTATATAAAATATAAATTAAATAATATAACATATAAAATCGAGATTTTTTTCACGGAAATCGTACGTTTTTCTTTAACTTTGATGTCCGTTTTCACCACGAAGACAAGTCCAGAGGTCAAATTTTTTTTTTTCAAATTAAAGTATATTACATAAGCTTTAATTTAAGATATATATAAAAGTGTCAGTCTTTCCGGAACATTTTCAAAAGTTAAGTTGAAAAAGTTCTACTTTCTATACGCATTTTAAAAGGTTTGCACCCCCCCTGTATAAAGGGAAATGGTCCGATTTTAAAAAAAAGTATGTCGAATGAAAGAAGTATATATAAAGTATTTATCATTAAAGAATAAAGTTGATTCATGCATTTTTTAAAAAGTTATAGCAACATAATGTTAAAAAATGTAAAATATAATATCAAGAATTTTTTCACAAAAATAGCATATTTTTGCATACGGTAGTCATTTTCACCATGAAGACAAGTCCAGAGGTCAAATTTTTTTTTTTCAAATTAAAGTATATTACATTAGCTTTAATTTAAGGTATATATAAAATTGTCAGTCTTTCCGGAACATTTTCAAAAGTTAAGTTGAAAAAGTTAATTTTTTGTAAAAAAGTTACCATTTTGAAACCCCATCCTTTGGGCTGTTAAAGGGTCAAATGTTCACAAAAATATATAAAATGATAGGTAATTATCTAAGGTATCTATAAAAAAAAAAATTATATTGATTCGGTCATTTTTAAAAAAGTTATGGCAATTTTAAGTAAAAAAAATTGAAAAAATATCGAAAATTAGCGATTTTTAAATTTGTAATTTTTTGGGGGATTTCCCCCGTTTACGGGGAACGAGGGAATTTTTTTCAATTTTTGAGGGTAATGTCTTCGACTAGATACGATTTGTGATCTTTTGACATATTGTTCATCAAAATCGGTCCAGCGAGAGCTGAGATTGAGCGTTCACAGACACAAAAAAAAAAATAAAAAAAAAAAAAAAAAAAAAAAAAAAAAAAAAAACACATCATAGTAAAACCAATACCTTCTCAGCTTCGCATCGAAGCTAAAAATATATTTATAAAATACTTATTATTTTAAAGGTACTTGATTGACTAGCGGTAAAAAAATTACTCTGTATAATAATATAATAAAATTGAAAATTTATTTAATTAACTAATTAAAACAAATAATTAAATAAACTAAAACAATTGATATAAATAAATTAAGTATTGATTTTGACCGAATTTCGTCTAAATAAAAAACATAACCGAGGAGTAGACCATTCCCACTTATCGCGTATTTGGACAAATATTTATAATCCCTTTGATTCGTGTCACAAATACCGACAGCAGTCGGGAAAATGACGAATAACGAATGCCGATGAACACACGTACAAGTACACCGTTCCCACTGCTTGACCAATAAAGACAAATAGCGAATGTTCGGCAAATACACAATGATATTGATAGTAACTACTATCATAACATGAAACTAAAAAGGAAAATTAAAATAATTTTTAAAAAAAACTAAAAAAACACGCTTTTAAAGCACATCGAACTAAAAAGTTAAAAATAATTTTTAAAATAATCTTAAAACCATAATGAACGAAAAATACTACTATTATTGTGATAAAAGCGTGGGTGCTTTGTGCCATATTTTTCGTATATTGATCGCCCAACGCTTTTATCACAATAATACTAGTATTTCTCGTTCATTATTGTTTTAAGCTTATTTTGAACGTTTTAGTGTTCGATGTGCTTTAAAAGCGTGTTTTTTTAGTTTTTTTAAACTATATTTTTATTATAATTAATGTGAAAGTATAAGTATAACATATTTTGAATATACTAATAAAATATAATGTTAGTAATAATTAATTGTATTTTTTATTAAATATTTAAATCATACATATAAATCAAATTAACACAGTTATTATATATAGTAATGAAACTATGAGAAAAATTTAGCTCATGAAAATTAATTTAAAGGTACTTATTAAATGACTCCATACCCTTAGGATATTCAATTAGTTAGACTGAATCATCTTTCAATTCACAATTGACATCTAAATAAAAATAAATTATTAAAAAACATAGTTTAAAAATTAAAAAACACGCTTTTAAAGCACATCGAACTAAAAAGTTTAAAATAATTAAAAATAAACCCATCACAGTTGGGTCGCGGCACTAATTAAAATCACTATCATAAAAACGCTTCGATGCAAATCTGTAAATAGTGATCAATTTTAAAAAATTGGTGGATTATTCCAAAAGTTACATAATCTCCTATTTCCTTATTTATAACCTGATTACAAGATTTATGATTCATTAGTGTGATATATTAAGAAGTATATCTATACATATAAAAGAAAATGGTTGTATTTAAAAAAACAGTATGCAGATTGAAAGTGGTATATAAATAGTATTTATCCTAAAAATTTGTATTGATACATATATTTTTAAAAAAGTTATAACATTATAAAGTTAAAAATAAAAAAAAGAATTTTTTTACAAAACTCTTATTTTTTAAAATTAATTTTTTGTTAGTTTTATCATGAAATTAAACTAAAGCCTGAAATTTTTCTTTTTCACATTAAAGTATATTACATAAGCTTTAATTTAAGGTATATATAAAAGTGGTAGTATTTCCGAACACTTATAAAAATTAAGTTGAAAAAGTTAATATTTGTGAAAAAATGTCATTTTTAATCTCCCACTGTGAGCAGCAAAAGCATCTATAAAAAAAAATCATATGAATTTGATTGGGTTTTTAAAACTGCCATAACTTTTTCATAAATGATCAAATCAAGATAATTTTTTTTTATAGATGCTTGATGTTTTAACTTATTATTAAGTATATTTTTTTTTTATAAATTTGACCATTTACCTGCCTACAGGGGTGGATTAAAAATAACAACTTTTTCAACTTAACTTTTGAAAGTGTTCCGTAATGTCTGACACATTTATGTATATCTTAAATTAAAGCTAATGTAATATTTTTAATTATAGAAAGTTAATAGTAATTTTAATCACTGTCAGATATCATTATACTTGATCCAACTATACACGTCATCACTGTGCCGCGACCCCTCCCCCATGATGAGTTTTTTATTTTTTGTTTGTGTCTGTTACCATTTTTCTATAACAATTTATACTTATTTTATTAACTAAAACTAGTTCATACAATTAAAGCGTTTCATAATTATTATGTATAGAATGTGATTTTAAATTATTTTGGCTTTCGTACATGTCGCTGGGTAAATTTTGTAAATATATTTCCATAAATTATGGACAAATTATTAATAAATAAAAGTATTTTTGTGTATTATAAAATTATTACTTTCTTGTTTTATGTCTTCCTTTGTCTCTATATTATTGGTTAACATATTAAAATGGTTATTAGGTCAATTTAAAACTTATTTAGATTAAAAAATAGTGGTATTATGAAGTATTAGAGAAACTTTACCATTTTGCTGAATTTCTTCTTGCGCATGTACTTCATTGGTATTTTGTATATAATTTTTAGAAGAATTTTGCGCGATATCTAAATATGTTAACAACAAATTATTTCAAATAAATGTTACATTGTACAAATATTTATACCTTGTTTGACATTAGTAAGTGGTAGAGTAGGTAAAAATGTCTGACTTGTGGACGACTCATATTTAAATCCAAGTTCAATATACTTTTTCGTAAATGTGTTTAAAATTAAATTTCTAATTTTATCACTAAGAAAAATGAAAAGTTCTTGGTATTTTCCTTGATATCTTAATGTATCAAATTCCATATACCATAAATTCCATAATAAATTAAAAATTAAGTTTTTTAGAATACAAAATGATTTATCTTCATGAAGTTCATAACGCCATTCGAATAATGTATTCACGATAGTCTTCAAAGCATCTTTTATTGAATCCGAACTGGTTCTCAACGTAGAGAATAAAGTTTCATCTTCCTGTATATTTGTAAGTAGATTGCTTAAAATAAAACGAGTTCTTTTTTGGGTGTTCAAGGGGATAGTATGATATTTTTCTATTGCATATAAAGCTCCTTTCATATATTTTGCCATCGGAACAATTTCAATTATTTTTGTTAAAAGTGTGACTTTACAATTGTGCGCACTATCATCACCAGAAATTAAAAGATAAGTACAATGTTCTTGAAATTTATTTAATGATAAGATCATTAAATTTAAATCATGAACGTAAGAACATTCAAGGAATATCGTTGCTTGCCGTATGCAATTATCGCAATTATATAATGTTACAGGTTTAATAAATAAATCTTTCAGTTCATAGTTTTTGACCCAATACATAATTAATTCGACATCATTTATATTATTCCATCCTGGTTGACGTAGAAAATTATTTATGATAACCGCGTTTTTATTTTTATTATTTGTCCCTTCAGTATGTAAAAAAGCGAATGACATACATAAGTACACTTGAATATTTAGTATTAATGCCATTTTCATTTTCGAAAACTTATTAATATAGTTTATTATATCTATACTCTTATTAAAAAAAGAATAGACGTATAAGTTTTTTATTACCAAACTAAAATAAAAAATTAGGAAATAAGCTGAGTATACAGGTGCAAATTATATTTATATGTGTCATCGGAAGGATGAGCAGAGTTGTTACGTTTTATTTACTGCTTGTTTAAATCATCAAAAATTAAAAAATTTACAATGTTTCTTCTAAAAATTTTAAACGGTTTAGAAATAAATTGTACTAATACGCATAAAATGACTAGTAATACAATATAATAAATACAATAGTATTAGAAAAAAATTCTGTTTAACGATTATTATTAAGACAATTCCAACTTGAATCAGTTTTTAGCCTTGATACGAAGCTGAGATGGTATTAATTTTACTATGATGTGTTTTTTTAGCTTCGATGCGAAGCTGAGAAGGTATTAATTTTACAATGATGTGTTTATTTATTTTTTTAGCTTCGATGAGAAGCTGAGAAGGTATTAATTTTACCATGATGTGTTTATTTTTTTTTTTGTGTCTGTCACTACTTTTTCTCAGCTCTCACTGGACCGATTTCTTTTAACAATACGTCAAAAGATCACAAATTGTATCTAGTTGAAGACATTACCCTTAAAAATTTAAAAATTTTCCCTCGTTCCCCGCAAATGGGGGAAATATCCAAAAAAATTACAAATTTAAAAATTAACAAATTTTGTCATTTTTTTCACTTTTTTTTCTTAAAACTTCTATAACTCTTTCAAAAATCAACAAATCAACATAATTTTTTCTTTAACTAAAACCTTAGATAATTTTCTTTCATATGATATAATTATTTTGAAAATTTAACACTTAGCCTGCTCATGGGNATTTTTTTGAAAATTTAACACTTAACCTGCTCATGGGGGGGGATTTAAAATTGAAACTTTTTTACAAAAACTAACTTTTTCAACTTAATTTTTGAAAATGTTCCGGAAATATTTCGTCCTTTAAACATATATCAAATTAAAGATTATTTTATGTACTATAAAATGAAAAAAAAAATTTTGTCCCGACACTTTATCTTCTGCATGTAAACGGTTGTCGTAGTTAAAAAAAACTATTTTTGTGTTAAAATTTTCGATTTTCGATTTTTAATTTTCAAATTAAAAATGCTATAACTTTTCGAAAAATGTATGTATCAGCACAAATTTTTTTTTTTCTAAATACATTATAAGTACATCTTCCATTTGACATACTTTTTATTAAAATTAGACAATTTCCCCTTATATAGGGGGGGTTCAAACTTTGAAACATTGTATAAAAAATAGAACTTTTTCAACTGAACTTTTGAAAATGTTCCGGAAATACTGCGTCCTTTAAACATATATCAAATTAAAGCTTTTTTTATGTACTATAAAATGAAAAAAAAAAATTTGTCCCGACACCTTATCTTCTATGTGCAAATGGCTGTCGAAATTATAAAAAAAATGTAATATTTGCGATAAAAATCACCTTTTATAACGATGTTTTTTGTACTTAAAACTGCCATAACTTTTTCAAATATTAACTAATCAAAATAATATTTCTTTATATTGAAACCTTAGGTAATTTTCTTTCATTTGATATCATTTTTTTTTGAAAATCTAACACTTATTCTGCTCACAGGGGGGATTTAAAATAGCAACTTTTTTACAAAAACTAACTTTTTCAACTTAATTTTTGAAAATGTTCCGGAAATACTGCGTCCTTTAAACATATATCAAATTAAAGCTTATTTTATGTACTACTAAATGAAAAAAAAAAATTTGTCCCGACGACCTATCTTCTATGCGCAAAAGGCTACCGTATTTAAAAATATGCAATTTTTTATTAAAATTCTAGGTTTTGTATTTTATTTTATTTTAAAATATCTTATTAGGGGAATAAACTGACTTTCATGAATATTATATAATATCATTGACATAGAATTAAGTTCATAAGACATATGAAATTATACTTATTAAAATTTTTTTACTTTTTTAAAGTCGAAAAAGCAATTTTTAAATTTGAGTTAGCTTAAAAAGCCAATTTTATCATGCAATCGTTTTTATTCGTTAATGTTTTAACGAACAGTTGCCGAATGGGTAACATCTTGATCATTCACANTAAATTTGAGTTAGCTTAAATAGCCAATTTTATCATGCAACAAAAATCAACGAATAGTTGCCGAATGGGTAACACCTTGATCTTTAACGCCTAGGGTACGAGGTTCAAATCCGTTTGTGGCTTCTAAAATTTTGCATTTTTTTTTTGAGTTAGAATAGAATTTTCAAATCATTTGATATTTATCTCATTTAGATTCAATAATTTCAATAAATATAAAGGATCTTATCACCATAGTCTCCCCTCCTGAGAAGAAATTGATATTCATGTTAATATTATTTTACTATGTGGTTCTTTTTCTGGCTACGATTTATTTTGCCAACCCTCACTAGACCTACTTTTTTCAACGATACGTCAAATGATTCATTTAAGTTTATGATATTTAAGTTAATGATTAGTTTAAGTTATTACTCTTAAAAATCAAAAAAATATTCCTTATTCAAATAAAAAGTAGCTTTTTCCATACAAACAATTAAAATCATTAATTTTTAATATTCTTATNTCGAAAAAGTAATTTTTAAATTTGAGTTAGCTTAAATAGCCAATTTTATCATGCAACAAAAATCAACGAATAGTTGCCGAATGGGTAACACCTTGATCTTTAACGCCTAGGGTACGAGGTTCAAATCCGTTTGTGGCTTCTAAAATTTTGCATTTTTTTTTTGAGTTACAATAGAATTTTCAAATCATTTGATATTTATCTCATTTAGATTCAATAATTTCAATAAATATAAAGGATCTTATCACTCGATGGATTTTTACAATTATAATTATATTTTTGATAATACGCTCAATTGAGTAAATCTTTTTAACTACTTTGGTTTGATTGGTTCATTTAATTAAAGTAAATTATTAAAATTAATTAAGTTCTGAATATTTCAATTGCAGAATCTTTTTAAACACCAAAAGTTATTAGGATATGATTACTATTCTTTCTATTTCAGTTATCTATTACGATAAAAATGTAAAAAAATCGAATTTTTCTGATAAATGTACTGTAAATAGTAATTATAAAATTTCCAGATTGCATATTAATCTTAAAAATTTCATTTTTTTCATTTAATAATGTCAATTTCAAACCTTGCAAGTTGAACTATAAGTTATGGTAACAAATTCATTTTTTAGCTTCGATGCGAAGCTGAGAAGGTATTTTTCATTAAAACTTTCACTTTAAAATACAATAAAAAATAGGTTCAAAATGATTACCTTTATCATATTAAGNATAGGTTCAAAATGATTACCTTTAACATATTAAAAATCAAAATCAGTATTAATTTAATACAATTTTTTTTGTTCTTAATTATTTTTTTTTATATGTAAATACTTATTTTTTAATAATAAGTAATAACATTAAAACTTAGAAGTAATAGAAAAAGTTTAATTGCACATTTGAAAACATCGTGAAAAGTTTATTTAGAAAAGTATATTTTTTTTCGGATGAAAGTTCCTTTTGTTTAGTGTATTTATTCATAAATAACAAAATTTTTTTATTGAAAAATATTGCATAAATTCCTTTAAATTTGTATACGCATTAAAAGTATATGAATATACAACTCCTTTTTATTTTTATAATATCTCCATAAAAATTACAATATTATATTATTGAATACCACTTTCATACTCAACTTAATTACTGTAATTATTATGTATTCATATATTATAATTATAAATCGGGGTAAAATTAAGGGAATAAGTGTTATTATTGTTTTTGAAATACTCTACCAATTTCATTTTTTTCTATATAATGATATCTATTTCAAACTTGCAAGTTGAGTTAAAAGTTATGGTAATAAATTCATTTTTTTTTTTTTTAAACTTTCACTTTAAAGAACAAAAAGAAGTAGGTTCAAAATGATTACTTTTAACATATTAAAAATCAATAATAATTTGAAAATAATTAATTATAAAAATTATATAATATATAATTAAAATAATTACTAATCTGGATATAATTAAGGAAATAGGAGTTGATGTTGGGTTGGGTTGGTTACATTTTTAACTTTATAATGCTATAACTCATTGAAAAGTGTACGAATCAACACAATTTTTTTATGAGAAATAATATTTTTTAATAATCCCTTTTTCATTCGACATACTTTATCTTAATCAGGGTATTAATAAGAAACTAGCAGATAATGTAGCTTTTGTAATTATCCACCAATTTCTTAGAATTAAACACTATCTACTGATTTGCATCGAAGCGTTTCTTATGATAGTGATTTTAATCACTGTCAGATTAAATCTATACTGGACCAACTATGCAACGTCCCCACTATGCCGCGACTCCACTGTGCTGAGTTTTTTTATTTTAATCAGTAAAAATTATCTCTGTAAAATTTAAGACAAATTCAATAACGTTAAAATATTACGGTCAAAGTTTGACTTAGACAGATTTTATTTTTTAGAAAATTACCTACTATATTTAATAATTTATAATATATGATTGTGTTGAAGCTTTCGTGGATTGTCATATTGCTCGAAATGTTTATGTAACTACACTATATAGTTACAACCACGATCCTGTAACTATCACTCTGAAGGAAATACATGCCCTCCAGAATTTACGTAATCCTACAAATTTGTTTCTTTAAAAAAAATGTATGGGTATATTAGATACCTAAATTAAAACAATATTATTATACGTTATATTCATAAAAAAATTCAGTTGTTATCATTATTTAACAGGTAATTTTTATGTTAGTACATTCTGTCCTGTAGTATATAAGGTGTTCAGTAAGTAATGAAACGGGTTTTATTGTTCTTATGGTATGTAACAATTGACTTGTTTCCTTACTTACTGAACACTCCGTATATTTTAAAAATGTTTTTTTAAAATAACAGGTTTAATCCTTTCATTGTTTCAATGTCATCAATTTAAATCATTGAAAAATACATTAGATCAATAGATATGAAGCATAAGCAAGTCATACTAGTAATAGGCATTAAATAATTAATTAAACAATCGGCAATTGAAGACTTCAAAATTCAGATAATTAGTAAGAATTTGACACGGCACCCCCCGTCGCTCTAGGCTGGCGCTCACCCGTGTCTCTCGCGATATCAGCCGTCCAGCTATTAATATGACAATCGGTTGTCTTCCCGCCCTTGACACCGAGATAAGGCCGAGTATGGATTACGGATATTGCGTTCTGTTCCGTTTACGATGTGCACCTAACTGGTTACTCGAATCCGTTGCTACGTTTTCTTTTTCTGCCTTTTGGTTGGTTTTCTTTATATAACATTTTCGTCGACTGTTACGACGTCGTTGCGACCGTTGCTCTTTCATTNACGACGTCGTTGCGACCGTTGCTCTTTCATTTTCACTTTTAATGTGAAAATACAAATTTCTATTATATTTATAGTAAAGAAAAGTATAAAAGGAAAACAAAAGATTACAACATTTAATAAACCATAATATATTCAATAGCACAAGTAGCTATGTTACTGTTTTAATATTTATATAATTAATAATAATTATAATAGAAAAATAAATAAATTATTTGCGATTCGTTTTGAAAAACAGAACGAAACGCTAGCCGTTGTCAATTTTGACAATCAAGCAGATTTGCAACAACTACATCAACAATATAAACATGGAAAGTTATTGCCAAATACTATACGAGCTCTCATATGCGGACCATCTATTTGTGGAAAAACCAATTTAATTTTTACACTTTTGTGCGATTTGAATGGTTTGAGATTTGAAAACGTATATATATATTCTAAGTCTTTGGGTCAATACAAATATCAATTTTAAATTCAAGTGTTGAAAGGAATCGAAGGAATTCAGTTGTTCACATTTGAAAATGGCGATGATGTAGCACACGTGTATTTGGTTCTACTCAGTTCGGTGTTTATTTTTGACGATGTGGTCATGGAAAAACAGAATCTAATGTGCGATTATTTCGCACGCGGTCGACATAAAAGGGTTGATGTCTTTTTCTTCTCACAGACCCTGTCTCGCATACAATAAAAATGTTGCGAGATAATACAAATGTGGTGGTGTTGTTTCGACAAAACGAAGTCAATTTGCGACACGCGTACGATGAATACGTATGTTGTGATATGAAATTTAATGAATTCAAAGAATGTTGCAAAAATTGTTGGGAAAATGATAAATATGGATTCGCAGTAATATGTACGGATTTCGCACGTGACAGTGGTCGATACAGGTATAAGTTTGATACGTATGTAACAATATGAATGCTGAAAATAATAATAATAATAATGATAACAATAATAATGAGAAAAAGAAAAAAGAATCCACGATGAAGTTATTGGATCAAGCCCGAGAGAATATTAGAAGAAAATACACAGAGTTGCGTCGTAATGAATCGGAGACGATGACTAGCGTTCAACAAAAACTAGCACCTATAATCGAACCATTGAATAAAATTTCTAATGCAACCGCCATTAATGCTAATACACAGAAACAACAACAACAATTTGACTCTGAAGGTAACAGTTTTTCAGAGTTATCTTTTACGCATCTAATAGAACAATGGACTAAAAATCCAAATAGAGATAAAGTGTATGGCCCGAAAATCCAACCGGATGGTACGTTAAGTATGGGCGATACGAATGACATAACCGTAAATGGAGATAGTGTTCGTGTTTACGGAATAAAATATCCATTGTCGATGGGCCTCGTTAATTTATTATTTTCGAAAAATCCTATCACATACAACGATAGTGATTTGGAAACGTACAAGACAATATTGGAGGAAACCGGAGCTCATTTAAATAGAAATTTGACGTTGAAAAAAGGCGGCGCTAAGTATGTGGAAATTATCGAACCAATGTTCGGTAATATCAAGGGGTCGGGTTTACAATTGAAAGTCAACGACAGTGGAAACGACAAGAAAGAATAATTATATTGGGACGACCCCAATGAACTTGTGCAACGTTTGAAGTTGCCTGTATCGGCTCAGTCTGCCGGCAACAGTGGAGTGTCCCCCGAGATTATTTCCATACTAGAAGAACTACACGAAGCTAGATACATTGCGGGCATACCGTCTACATTATGAAAACGAAAATTGCACACGAACTACACCGTCCGGCTCGGAAAACGTGTATACGACGGCGTATTAATATTAAGGGAATCAATGATTTATGGCATGCCGACTTAGTGGAGATGACTACGTACGCGGATCGTGGATACCGGTACATTTTAACATGCGTGGACGGTTTTACAAAATACGCGTGGGCCGTAACACTGAAAAGTAAAACAGCACGAGATGTAACAACCGCAATGACGGACATCCTGAAACTTGGATACTATCCAAAACTTTTGCAAACCGATTGTGGTACCGAGTTCTACAACAAAAAATTCCAGGCGTTAATGGTACGGTATGGGATTCATCATTATTCAACGTTTACAACGTTAAAAGCGTGTCTCGTGGAACGTTTCAATCGAACGCTGAAGACGTTAATGTGACGTGATTTTACAGCTCGAGGATCATACAAATGGTTGGATATGTTACCAAATCTGGTCAACGATTATAACAACAAACACGTACACAGAACTATTGGCATAACACCGACACAAGCCGTTCGGAATCCCAGTTTAGTACGCATTAAATTATGAAAAATACTCTATAATTTACCAATTAAATTTCGAGTAGGCGACAAAGTTAGAATTAGAAAAACGAAATCCGTGTTTGACAAGGGCTATTTGCCCAACTGGAGCAGTGAACTGTTCGCCGTAATCAAGGTCAAACGTACATTGCCGCCAACATATTATTTGGAAGATAACCAGGGAAATACCATTCAGGGTACGTTTTACACCGAAGAGTTGAGTCACACAAAGTATTCGGAGACGTATCTTGTAGAACGAGTAATGCGTGCACGCGGAAATAAATGTTACGTTAAATGGTTGGGTTTTGGACCGGAACACAACTCATGGATACCGATAACAGATTTCTCACGACAATGATGGTCGATATACAAGGGGTGGTGGCGACCAATCGTTCGTTAGTGATCAACGAAATATCCGCTATAGATTTGAACTCAATGTCTCTCGCTCACTGGACATTCAAAATTTCAAAATCGTTCGCCGCCGAAGACGATACGAAGATCAACTACTGGGTAAAAAAATATCATCAAGGTTTAGACGCAAATATCGATGACGTCGAATATTACGAATTGTCAAGAATAATGGCACTGCTACTGTGTGAAAGTATTTACGTGAAAGGCTTGCAGAAAAAACAAATATTGCAAAATTATTTACTCGGGCAAAATGTTTACGAAATCGAAGAAGAGTGCCCATCACTACAAAAATTATGTGAAGAATTCCAACCACGTTGTCTCAGACATATGAACAACCACAACATGTGTAATTCATACAAAGTAATGGGTTTGAAACAGTGGTTAACTGATAATTCATCATACTTTTTTTATTATTATTATAATTATTTTTTACATATACTTGATGTATTACTTTGTTCAATAAAATAAATTTAACTAATTATATGCTGTTTGTTTATTCTGTCAGTTTGTGAGTGTATATATATATATATATATATATATAATATATATGTAAGTATATAATACATAACCAAATCAGTAATTGTAGTACATTTTTATAATTTATCTTATTAAACATTTGCATACATTTAATTCAATAAAATTTAAATACATATTATTTATATGACTACTCTAGTATGCGTTATCATACAATGATATATAAATAAATATTATTCGTTGAAATTCGAGTTTTGTAGGGAATAATGTCCCCACGCTTTTGTGTACACATCTTTGTATTCACATTCGTCACCGATCATCGCACGCTTGTCATAGTTGTTGGACAACGCAAGCTTATCAATTTCTTATAACTTATCAATATTAACGACATTTTCTTTCATATTGTTTGTCCCGCAAACAATTTAAATAATCAACCATCTTGATTTCGTGTTTGACTACACCTTGACCCACACCTTTCAATCGTTTCACTTCATCGACGTCTCTCGTAAACACTTGATTACTGTAGTTTTGCAGAGTTGTCAAATATGCATAGACTTTGGGCAATAATGCGATGATTTCTTGCATGTACATGCCCTTGCATTCGTCAGTAAACGTACCCGGTTGTTTTTTACGTCTATCGGTGTAACACGGGTTGTCGGTTGGATAATTGGATGTATCGAAATATTCGAGCAGGTAATTTTTCAAATCATCGTGAAAACTATTAGTCAAAATTAGGTAGATAAAAGAATCGGTGTTCATGTAACATAACATGAGCCTTTCCGGTCCATATAACGGTAACATAACTTCATAATGGAATTTGTACATTATAGTTTTACTGATATCCAATATTGCCTGCCCGATAAAAATTGGTTCATAAAAATTAATCCTCTCCTTGTACATGTGAACAGCAACTAAATCTTCATTGATTATGGTGCTGTGGCTATACGACGGTTTTGCAGCCAACTTTGACAATTTCTCCGAGTTACATACGAGTTTGATATTTTGGTGTTGTCTAACATTCTCCAAAGTTTTTCCTATAAAGTCAAATATAATTAAAAAAAATATTTGTATATATATATATTCTTACCGTAGTTTGAGTTGATCATCATTTTGGGTAAGTTTTGTCCAAACGTGGTGGTCGCTTTTTTGCGCAAATCCGTATTAAGCTGAATGTAAGGAGTCAACCAACGAGATTGCATAAATCTGATACATTTATGCAATTTGATAACTACCACGCCATGTTTTACAGCTTGTTTTAGAGCTCGGTAATGAACAATGTAACCACGTTTGGGATCTAGTGTAGTCATCAGTTTACTAAATTTAGAAGACATTAATGGCAGTTTTTTGTTAACAGGAAAAAACGGTAAATCGTGTAGTTCTCGGGGGTAATCTACATCGACCTCTGCAAGATTACTACTTTACTCTTCATCTCCTCATCCATTATTATCCCTACACCATTATTTGTACTACACTTACCAAAGTATATTATTTTATAACCCTCACCTATTTCCCTTAATTTCTCTCCTTTCCACTTAGTTTTCTGTATACAACAAATGTTAACTTTTTTCCTCTTCAATACTTCTACTGATTCTCTACTTTTACAAGTTAATGTTCCAACATTCCAAGTACCTATTCTTACTTTGTATCTATCTTTCTCCCTTATACACGAGTCCAGCCTAGAGTTAAGTGGTGATGTCCCTACACCGTTGACACTACAAGCGTTGGGTAGACCGGTACACATGACTGGTGAAACAGCTATCGCACAAGTTATATCAAAAACTTTATACCTTAAGCTTTCTCCGTTTTTAACTGCATTTTTTGTCCCCACGTACATCCGAGATAGGGCGATCCGCTTAAGTTTTGTTTAGGATTCCTCATACTTTTTTGACAAAGATTTTTACGCCAGCTATCGACCTGACACAACCTCATTAGTTGCCTCTTACGACTGGCAGAGGAGCCTTGGAAATATTTTTATCCCCTATCCACAGGGAAATACTTTACTTTTACTTTTATACACTTTTACTTATTATTATTTAAATTACAACGAAGCGTGTTTTAAATTACGACAAATATTAAAACTTAGAAGTGATAGAAAAAGTCTAACTGCACATATGAAAGCCTCGAAAAAAGATGATTTAGAAAAGTATATTTTTGTTTCTGATGAAAGTTCATTGTAATCCAGTGTATAAAACGTATAACTATGTTATAAATAACAAACATTTTTTATTGAAAGGTATTGCATCAAGCCCTTCAAATTTTTATACGCTTTAAAAGTAAAGAAAAATCAACTGCTTTATTATTTTTATAATATTTCCGTAAAAAATAACAATAATAAATTATTGAATATGAATTTCATACTAAATTTAATTATTATAAATTTTATTTATTCATATATGATAATAATATATCAAATAACTAATCGGGATAAAATTAAGGGAATAAGAGTTATTGTTGTTTTTGAAATAATCTACCAATTTCTTAAAATTAAACACTATCTACAGATTTGTATCGAAGCTTTTCTTATGATAGTGATTTTAATCACTGTCAGATATCATCTATACTTGTCCCAACTACTATACAACTTTCATACTGTGCCGCGACCCTTTTGTTCTACCGTTAATTTTATGTTTATAATAATTTTTTCGAACTTCATCAAAACTTTTAAATAAAACAATATGAAACGAAACATTTTTTTTAATTGGTGCAATTAAACCATCTATTAAATTTTTTAAATTACCATAAATTTACGACATGGGTACAATGAAAGGACAAAACCTGTCATTTAAAAAAAACATTTTTTAAATATACAAAGTGTTCAGTAAGTAAAGAAACAAGTCAATTGTTACAAACCATAAGAACAATAAAACCCGTTTCATTTCTTACGGAACCCCTTATATACTACAGGAAAGGATGTACTAACATAAACATTTACTGTTAAATAATCATCAAAATTGAAATTTTTTATAAATATAAAGTTTAATAATATTGTTTTACTTTTGATATCTAATATATCCCTAATTTGATTTTAAAAGAAACACATTTGTAGGGTTACTTATATTCTGGGGGCATGTATATCCTTCCCCCCAAACAAATGTTTGATAATGAATTCAAATGCGTATCAAGTAGTTAAAATAATAATTATTTTGTGAAATTCGACTTTTAGACTATTTTTCTCAATATTTTGATAATGGTTTAAGAAAAAAATTGAAAATCACTTTATGCAAAATAAGTATTTTTTTTTTTATTTATAATATTTTGTAAATTTCTTGAAATGTTTACGAATGTAACCACGTTTTCAGTTATGAACTGACGTTGCGGACTCTTTGTAGAGTTCATCTTCAGAGCGATAGTTACAGGATCATGATTGTAACTATNAGAGCGATAGTTACAGGATCGTGATTGTAACTATACAGTACAGTTACATAAATATTTTCAAGCAATACGATAATCTACTAAAGCTTCAACACAATCATATATTATTAATTATTGAATATAGTAAATAATTTTCTAAAAAAAAAAATCTGTCTAAGTCAAACTTTGACCGTAAGTTGTCATATTTTAACGTTATTGGATTTGTCACAAATTTTATTGAGTTAATTTTTACTGATTAGAATAAAAAAATCGGAAGTCGAAAATTTATCAAATTTATGGCATTATAATATATGTATAAATTTTTGTCACATTTATTTTTTATATGCACATAAACAGATGGAGACATTGCATAACTTTTTTTTTTTTAATATAATAGTATTAAAAACTTTTGTTTAATTTAGCTACAATTTATTTTCATTCTATTTGTTCATCATTAAGTAATAAATAAAATACTGATTCAAGTTTGAATTGTTTTAAAAAAAATTGTTAAATGTGTTCTTTAATACAAATTATTTATTTCTAATACTATTATATTTAAGATATTGTATTACTAGTCATATTATGAGTATTCATAAAATTAATTATTTCTAATCTCACATATATGGAAATCATCAAAAAATAGATAAATATAAGGTTGGACATTTTATTTCGAGCGTTTCCAAAAAATTTCTTTTTAGTTTTTAGTAATGGAGCACTCCTTTACTATATATAATTATTTCCAAATAGTTAACATACATAATTTAAATACACTATTAAAATTATCAGAAGAAACAATATAAATTTTCAAAATGTTGGTGTTTTAATCACGCAATGTTAAAAACGTAACAATCTTACACCTCCTCTCAATGTCACATACAAATATAATTTGCACCTGTATACTCGGCTTATTTGCTAATTTTTAATTTTAGTATGGAAATAAAAAACTTTATTAATATCATAATTAGTTTAAAATATATTTTATATACCTTTTTAATAAGAAGATAGATTAATAACAATTGTTTATCTTTATAAACAGTACTTTTTTCTACTACTTCTTTATATATAATATAGTATTACTAGTCATATTATAAGTATTAATACAATTTATTTTTAAACCGCTTATAATTTCCAAAAGAAACAATGCACATTTTAAAATTTTTGGTCTTCTAAACACGCAGTGTTTAAAACGTGATAATCCTGCTCCTCTACGCTGTCATATAAATTAATTTTGTTTACTTATCAGAAATAAAAAACTTTATTAATATTATCATTACATTGAAATAAATTTTGTACGACTATTATTTTTTTTAAATAAGATTATAGATATAATAAAATAGATTGATAACTTTTCGAAAATGAAAATGGCAATTATACTAAATATTCAAGTGTACTTATGTATGTTTTTCGCTGTTTTAGATATTGAAGGATTACATAATAAAAAAGAAAAAGCGGCTATCATAAATGATTTTTTACTTCAACCAGGATGGAAAAGTATAAATGATGTGGAATTTATTAATTATTGGAGACAAAAATATGTACTGAAAAATTTATTTATTGAACCTGTAACATTATATAATTGCGATAATTACATACGGCAAGCAACGATATTTCTTGGATGTTCTTACTATCATGATTTAAAATTAATATTTTTATCATTAATTAAATTACAAGAACAATGTTTACATCTATTACATTCTTGCGATGATAGTGCGCACAATTGTACAGTCACACTTTTAACAAAAATGATTGAAATTGTTCCGATGGCAAAATTTATGAAAGGAGCGTTATATGCAATAGAAAAATATCATAATAGTCCCTTGAACACCCTAACAAGAACCCGTTTTATTTTAAGCAGTTTACTAACAAATATACAGGAAGATGAAAGTTTATTGACTACATTGAGAATCAGTTCGGATTCAATTAGAGATGTATTAGAAACAATCGCGAAAATATTATTCGCAAGACGTCTTGAACTTGATGAAGAAAAGTTATTTTGTCAACTAAAATATTTAGATTTTAATTCATTGTGCAATTTATGGAATATGGAATTTAATAACTTAAAATATCAAGGAAAATACCATGAATTTTTCATTTTTCTTAGTGATAAAATAAAAAATTTAATCCTAACGACAATCAGAAAAAAGTATATTGAACTTGGATTTAAATATGATTCGTCCACAAGTGAGACATTTTTACTTGGTTTACCACCTACTAATGTCAAAGAAGGTATAACTATTTATGAAATGTTATTTTTATTTAAAATAATTTGTTGTAAACATATTTAGATATCGCACAAAAGTTTACAATAAATTTTGTACAAAATACCAATGAAGTAAATCCGCAAGAAGAAAATAAGCAACATGGTAAAGTTTATACATAAGATTTCAATAAAAAAAAATTATTTTGCTTTGTTAATTTTTAATTTAGTTATAGCACGGTTAAGTAAAAATATATTAACACATTAAACAGTGATTTTTACATAAAAATAACATTTTTCGTTCAATTCGGCAGCCAATTCCCATTAGAAGAAAAGGTGTCGAGAAAAATTTTTTTATTGAACTTTTAGAATTTATTTATGAAATGCTATTTTTATTTAAAATAATTTGTTTTAAACATACTTAGATATCGCACAAAAATTTACAATAAATTTTGTACAAAATACCAATGAAGTAAATGCGCAAGAAGAAAATCAGCAACATGGTAAAGTTTCTCTAATACTTGACACTACACTATATTTTAATTTAAATAAGTTTAAATTGATCTAACAACCATTTTAATATGTCTAGATCTTACAAAATATCCTTCGATACTACATACCAATGATGTAGAGAATAAAGAAGGCATTCAACAAGAAAGTAATAATTTTGCAATACACTATAATACTTTTAATTTTTTGTGTTATTAGAATTAGGAATCAATATACTCATCCATAATACGTTGTCCATATTTTATGGAAAACTACAAAATGTACTCAGCGATTTGTATGAAAGCTAAAACAGTTTTAAAATAATAGAATAAATTTTATTCTATACATTATTATTATAAATGTTTTAATTCTATGATCTGGTTGTAGACAATAAAATAAGTATAAATTAGAACTAGAAATTCAGCAACATGGTAAAGTTTCTTTAATACTTGACACTACATTATTTTTTAATCTCAATAAGTTTAACTTGTGTGTAAAAATTGTAATTTAGAATCTCCATCTGTTTGAAGATAAATGGTCAGATTTTTTAAAAATGTAAATCAAATAAAAGGACAATACATACGATTTCAATCAAAAAAAATTATTTTGCTTTATTAATTTTTAATTTAGTTATAGCACGGTTAAGTATAAATATATTAACACATTAAACAGTGATTTTTACATAAAAATAACATTTTTCGTTCAATTCGGCAGCCAATTCCCAATAGAAGAAAAGGTGTCGNAGCCCAAAGGATGGGGTTTCAAAATGGTAACTTTTTTACAAAAAATTAACTTTTTCAACTTAACTTTTGAAAATGTTCCGGAAAGACTGACAATTTTATATATACCTTAAATTAAAGCTAATGTAATATACTTTAATTTGAAAAAAAAAAATTTGACCTCTGGACTTGTCTTCATGGTGAAAATGACTACCGTATGCAAAAATATGCTATTTTTGTGAAAAAATTCTTGATATTATATTTTACATTTTTTAACATTATGTTGCTATAACTTTTTAAAAAATGCATGAATCAACTTTATTCTTTAATGATAAATACTTTATATAAGCTTCTTTCATTCGACATACTTTTTTTTTAAATCGGACCATTTCCCTTTATTCAGGGGGGATGCAAACCTTTTAAAATGCGTATAGAAAGTAGAACTTTTTCAACTTAACTTTTGAAAATGTTCCGGAAAGACTGACACTTTTATATATATCTTAAATTAAAGCTTATGTAATATACTTTAATTTGAAAAAAAAAAATTTGACCTCTGGACTTGTCTTCGTGGTGAAAACGGACATCAAAGTTAAAGAAAAACGTACGATTTCCGTGAAAAAAATCTCGATTTTATATGTTATATTATTTAATTTATATTTTATATAACTTTTGGAAAAATGTATGGATCTATATTATTATTTTTTTATAATAAATATTGATATACCCCTTTCATCTGGCACGCTTTTTTTGTAAATCGGATCATACCCCTTTAACAAGGGGGGTCAAAACTTTAAACATGCGTATTGTTACTACGATATTTTCAATTTAATTTTTGAAAGTATTCCGGAAATACTGACACTTTTAAATATATCTTAAATTAAAGCTTATGTAATATACTTTAATGTGAAAAAAAAAAATTTGACCTCTGGATTTGTCTTCATGGTAAAAATGACTACCGTATGCAAAAATATGCTATTTTTGTGTTAAAATTCTGGGTTTTGTATTTTATTTTATTTTAAAATACCTGACAAGGGGAGTACAGATTTTCATAAATATTATATAAATTAAAATTGATATAGTATAGATAGTTAAACTTATTTAAATATGTTTGTTTCTTTTAAGTCGAGAAAAATAACTTTGAAATTTGAACTAGCTTAAATAGCCAATTTTTCAACCGCCGGAAGCAACGTACGGTTGCCGAGTTGGTAAAATTTATGTTTTACACGCTTGGGGTACGAGGTTCCAACCCGCATATGGCAATGAATTTTTTGCATTTTTTCTTAATTCTTTTTAAGTTAGTATAAATTTTAACTCGTTTGATTTTTATCACATTTAGATTCAATAACTTCAATAAAGATCAAGGATCCCATCACTTTAGTCGCCCCTTGCAAGAAGAAATTTCTTATTCGTATTAAAATTATTTTACTATATTTTAAGTTTTCGCTTCGATGCAAAGCCGAGAAGATATTTTTTTGTGACTATCATTTATTTTCTCTGCTCTAACTTGACCTACTTTTTTCAACAATACGTCAAATTACTACAATTCGTATCTAGTTGAAGATATTACTCTCAAAAATTGAAAAAAAAATTCTAATTTATCAATTAAACAGTTAGTTATTACATCGTCTCCATAAAGACAATTAAAATCATTAATTTCTAATGTTTTCAAAATATTTATTAACGAATGAAGTTTGATATGATAGGTTTCAACTACAAAATTAAATCATTTTACTTTGTAATTTAATAATTTTTTTACTCTATTTGTGTGTGCTACTACTAGACTATAATATTACAATTTTTTTTTGTAACATGTTGCTATATAAATCATTTCTAAAAAAAATGATTGTTTTTTCTCCTGAATTAACAATTGATTTTTACAAATATAATCAAATTTTATAATACACTCAATTGAGTAAATCTTTTTAACAACTTTGTTTTGATTGGTACATTTAGTTAAAGTAAATCATTAAAATTAATTAAGTTCTCAATATTTCAATTATAGAATCTTTTCAACAAACAACAAAAGTTCCTAGGAAATTATTACTATTACTTCTATTTAAGTTATCTATTACCATAAAAATGCAAAAAAATATTGAGCTTTTCTGATAAATTTACAATAAATAGTAATTATAAAACTTTCTGACTGCATATTGATCTTAACGATACAATTTTTTTAATTGTCATAAAATTTTCTATTTAATTATGTCAATGTCAAACTTACCAATTGAGCTAAAAGTTATGGTAAAATAAATTTTTTTTTTTTATTATAAACATTTACAACAATCAACTTTAAACGATTAACAAAATAGGTTAAATATGTCATTTTCCTTATTTTTAACTTATTAATAATCAAATTAATATTAAATATTATATCAAATCAGTATTAATTTAAAACAATTTTTTTTGTTCTTAATTATTTTTTTTTATATGTAAAAACTATTTTTTAATAATATTAAAACTTAGAAGTTATAGAAAAAGTCTAATTGCACATTTTAAAACATCGCGAAAAGTTGATTTAGAATAGTATATTTTTGTTTCTGATGGAAGTTCCTTGTAGTCCAGTGTATAAAACTTATAACTTTGTTAATTGTTATAACTTTATCAAAAATGACCAAATCAGTATATTTTTTTTTATTTAGATGCATGTCTTTATCTATCATTTGGTTTTTTTTATAAATCTAACCCTTTACCTGCCCACAAGAGGGATTCAAAATATTAACTTTTTTTTTTTTAGTTAAAGTAAATCATTAAAATTAATTCAGTTCTGGATATTTCAATAGTAGAATCTTTTTAAATATCAAAAATTACTTAGAAATGATTACTATGATTTCTATTTAAGTGTTCTATTACGATAAAAATGCAAAAAATAATGAGTTTTTCTGATAAATTTACAATAAATAATAATTATAAAACTTTCTGACTGCATATTAATCTTAAAAATAACATTGTTTTAATTCTCATAAAATTTTCTATTTAATGATTCATTCTAGTCAACGAAGGAGTAATTTTGCAGAATAGCAGAAAAAATTCCCAACAAACTTTTTTTTTTTTTGTTTTAATTAGGCAATTGGTGGATTATTCCAAAAGCAACATCAACTCTTATTTCTTTAATTATATCATGATTAGTAGTTCTTTGATTTTAAAATATAATATATGAATATATACTAATTATAATTATTAAATTTAGTATGAAATTGATATTTAATATTGTAATTTAAACGGAGAAATTATAAAAATAATAAAGAAGTTATATTTTGCTTTACTTTTACGTGTATAAAAATTTAAAGGGCTTGATACAATAATTTTCAATAAAAACTGTTTGTTTTTAAAAGTTGAATTAAAATATGTATAATGACATACTAATAGTCCTCAAGATTGGAATTGAGCTTTTTTTTTACAGCCTCGCAAAAGTTCAAAAATATGAGCTTTTTTAATTTTCTCAAAAAATATTTAACTTACAAAAAAAAGTTTCGTACAAAAGTTGTTTAAAAGACAATTATAAACAAAAAAATTATCTTATATTTTTTCATTTAAACAAATATTTTTCGAGTTACATTACATTTAATATGAGTACTAAAATTTATATTCCATTTTTTTCATTTTACGGTTACTTTTTATCATGTTACACTTACGTTAGACACAATGTTATAAATGCATATGTGTGTATGTGTGAGTTTATTTATTTATTGTATCATTAAAGTGTAGTGTATATTAATATACAAGCGATAGAGTAGGTAATTGATTTGACGCTATATTATTTAAACCCAACTAAACGCTAAATTGTACATTCCGAAACAACAATCATATTATGTCAATTGCCACCGGAATTTCTGGTAATATTTTTCTTTTTCTTTGCCTTAATCCCAACTACTTGGGGTCGGCCACCCTTATCCTAAGCTTCCACTTGACACGATCTCCCACATCTTCTACGCTCACATCAGCTGTCCTCAAATCGCATTCAATAGCATCCCTCCATCTCTTTTTTGGTCTTCCTCTATCTCTTCTTCCTTCAACATTCATTTCTATAACTGTTCTTACAGCTTTCGATTCTTCTTTCCTCATACCATGACTAAACAATCTAAGTCTATTTTCTGTCATCTTATCCACGATTGACGCAACACCTATACTTCCTCTTATATGCTCGTTCCTTATCCTATCTTCTCTAGTCACTCCACTCATCCAACTAAGCATTCTCATCTCTGCTACACTTATTCTCTGCTCTACTTTTTTATCAACCGCCCAACACTATGAACCATACATCATAGCTGGCCACACAATTTCATACTAAATTTAAAAACTATAATTAGTATTTATTCATATATTATATTTTAAAATCAAAGAACTGCTAATCAGGATATAATTAAAGAAATAAGAGTTGATGTTGCTTTTAAAATATTTCACCAATTTCACTAAAGGAAACACTATCTACAGATTTGCATCGAAGCGTTTCTTATGATAGTGATTTTAATCACTGTCAGATATCATAATACTTGATCCAACTATGCCACGTCACCACTGTGCCGCGACCCCCCTGTGCTGGGTTTTATTTAAATAAGTTTAAATTGATCTAACAACCATAATAATATGTCTAGATCTTACAAAATATCCTTCGATATTACATACCAATGATGTAGAAAATAAACAAGGCATTCAACAAGAAAGTAATAATCTTGCAATACACTATAATACTTTTAATTTTTTGTGTTATTAGAATTAGGAATCAATATACTCGTCCATAATACGATGTCCATATTTTATGGAAAACTACAAAATGTTCTCAGCGATTTGTACGAAAGCTAAAACAGTTTTAAAATAATAGAATAAATTTTATTCTATACATTATTATTATAAATGCTTTAATTCTATGATCTGGTTGTAGACAATAAAATAAGTATAAATTAGAACTAGAAATTCAGCAACATGGTAAAGTTTCTTTAATACTTGACACTACATTATTTTTTAATCTCAATAAGTTTAACTTGGGTGTAAAAATTGTAATTTAGAATCTCCCTCTGTTTGAAGATAAATGGTCAGATTTTTTAAAAATGTATGTCAAATAAAAGAACAATACATAAGATTTCAATANTATATCAAATAAAAGGACAATACATACGATTTCAATCAAAAAAAATTATTTTGCTTTATTAATTTTTAATTTAGTTATAGCACGGTTAAGTATAAATATATTAACACATTAAACAGTGATGTTTACATAAAAATAACATTTTTCGTTCAATTCGGCCGCCAATTCCCAATAGAAGAAAAGGTGTCGAGAAAAATGTTTTTTTTTGAACTTGAGTTAAGTTGAAAAAGTTCTACTCTTTACTCGAAATTTTAAAAATTAAAACCTCCCCTGTATAAAGGATAATGGTACGATTTAAAAAAAAAAGTATGTCATATGAAAGGTTTATATATAATTTATTTAGAACAACAATTTAATTAATCCATACATTTTTCGAAAAGTTTAAGTAATATAAAGTTAAAAAATGTTTACACCAAAATTGCATGATTTTTAATTACGGCCACTATTTTCACATAGAAGATAAGTCGACGAGAATTTTTTATTTGACTTATAGTTCATATCATTAGTTATTTAAACATATGTTTGAAGCTAGGAGTATTTTCCGAACATTTTCAAAACATAAGTAAAAAAAGTTTAATGTGCAAATATTACTAATTACAATTCCCCTTGTGCCAGGCAAAGGGTCAGATTTTCAAAAAAATTATATCAAATGAAAAAGAAATATCTAAGGTTTCATTATAAAACAGAGTTTTTTAGATTCGGCAATTTTTCAATAAGTTAAGGTAATTTAAAAAAAAATATATTGAAATTTACTGATTTTAAAAATAGTAATTTTCGGGCGATTTTCACCATTTACGGAAAACGAAGGAAAAATTTTTAATTTTTAAGGGTAGTGTCTTCAACAATGTACTTTTGTGATCTTTTGACGTATTGTTTAAATAATCGGTCCAGTGAAAGCTGAGAACAAAAAGTAAGAGACACAAAAATATCAAAAACAATATATAAACACATTATGGTAAAATTAATATCTTCTCAGATTCGCATCAAATCTAAAATTGAATTGTAACTTTTCGAAAATCAAAATGGTATTAATAATTAATATTCAAGTGTACTTATGTATGATTTTCGCTTTTTTACATACTGATGGAGCACTTACTAAAAAAGAAAATGCGGTCATCATAAATGATTTTCTACGTCAACCAGGTTGGAATAATATAAATGATGTTGAATTAATTAAGAATTGTGGCAAAAACTATGAACTGAAAAATTTATTTATTGAACCTGTAACAATACATAATTGTGATAATTTCATACGGCAAGCAACGATATTCCTTGGATGTTCTTACTATCATGATTTAAATTTAATGTTTTTATCATTAATTAAATTTCAACAACATTGTTCTGATCTATTATATTCTGGCAATGATAGTGTGTATAATTGTACAGTCACACTTTTAACAAAAATGATTGAAATGGTTCCAATGGCAAAATATATGAAAGGAGCTTTATATGCAATAGAAAAATATCATATTACACCCTTGAACACCCTGAAAAAGACCCGTTTTATTTTAAGCAGTATACTAACAAAAATACAGAAAGATGTATCTTTATTGACTGAGTTGAAAAACAAATCGGATTCAATTAGAGATATATTAGTGACTATCGCGAAATTATTATACGCTAGGCGTCTTAAACTAGATGTAAATAAGCCATTTTGTGTACTAAAAAAATTAGATTTTAATTCATTATGGAATTCATGGAATATAGAATTCAATATATTATTTTACGAAGGAAAATATCAAGAACTTTTCATTTTTCTTAGTGATAAAATTAGAAAATTAAACATAACGATAATCAGAAAAAAGTATATTGAACTTGGATTTAAATATGATTCGTCCACAAGTGAGACATTTTTACTTGATTTACCACCTACTAATGTCAAAGAAGGTATAACTATTTATGAAATGTTATTTTTATTTAAAATAATTTGTTGTAAACATATTTAGATATCGCACAAAAGTTTACAATAAATTTTGTACAAAATACCAATGAATTAAATGCACAAGAAGAAAATCAGCATTATGGTAACGTTTCTCTAATACTTGACACTACACTATTTTTTTAATTTAAATAAGTTTAAATTGATCTAACAACCATTATAATACGTCTAGATCTTACAAAATATCTTTCGATATTTTTTAATCTAAATAAGTTTAACTTGTATGTAAAAATTGTAATTTTGGATCTCCCCCTGTGTGCAGATAAATGGTCAGATTTTTTAAAAATGTATACCAAATAAAAGGACAATACATGAGATTTCAATAAAAAAAAATTATTTTGCTTTATTAATTTTTAATTTAGTTATAGCACGGTTAAGTATGAAAATATTAACACATTAACAGTGATAAAAATAACATTTTTCGTTCAATTCGGCAGCTAATTCCCATTAGAAGAAAAGGTGTCGAGAAAATTTTTTTTTTTTTGAACTTGTAGAATTTATCATAATCTGTAACTTGGTATATTTAAAAGTCGGAGTATTTCCAGAACATTTACAAAAGTTAAGTTGAAAAAGTTCTACTCTTTACTTGTAATTTTAAAAATTAAAACCTCCCATGTATAAAGGAAAATGGTATGATTTAAAAAAAAAAAGTATGTCATATGAAAGGTTTATGTATAATTTAGAAAATAAGTATAAATTAAAACTAGAAATTCAACAACATGGTAAAGTTTCTCTAATACTTGATAGTACTACTATTTTTTAATCTAAATAATTTTTTAAATTGATCTAACAACTATTTTATTATGTCTAGGTATTACAAAATATCCTTCTTTACTACATACGAATGTTGTAGAGATAAAAGAAGACATTAAACAAGTAAGTAATAATTTTATAATGCACTATAATACTTTTATTTTTTTATAATATGCTATTATAATTAGGAAGCAATCTAACTACAAAATTTACTCAGCGATATGTACGAAAGACAAAATAATTTTAAATTATATTCTATATATTATTATTATAAAACGCTTTAATTGTATAAACTGGTTGTAGACAATAAAATAAGTATAAATATGAACTATAATAAGTTAAAAGGTATTTTTATTAATTTTTTTTTCATTATAATCTTTATTGTTTTATGCCTGGGCCAGTGACCATTCCTTCTGGCTTCTCAACATTACGCCGAACGCGGACACCGAGCGGTACTCCAACTCTTCTCGCTTACTGGTCTACGACTCGCACCGGAAGAGCGTATGCTATGCATTGTTTCCAACACGTCCGCGTCCAGCTGACCCGAAGCCGGTGGACCACGGTGCTTCTGCATGACGACCCGTTAGAGTTTCCCCTACGGGTCGTTGTCCACTGATTTCACAAGTTCAGCCCAGCACTTCGCTTTGGCCCACCTGATGGTGAGCTTCAGCTCTTTGCGGGCTGACCTCAGCGCCTCCCTTGGGTCCGGGAATTCCGGGTCCCTCGACCATCGGTTGGAGTGCGTTATTGCCCACCTGACCCTGACGCACACCTCCTCGTTCCCCGGGCGGTCCACAAGTCGACGGCGATCGTTTGGCCGGAAGGGCGAATTAGCAGGCTGCGACCACTCTACGTTCAAACTCTTCCACCGCTTCACTCGCGGAGACTTGCCGGTCCGGTACCGCGGGCACCGACCATTGAACGAGCACTAAGCCCGTCTCGAATGCGTCGACGTCCGTACCTGTACTGACCCGTCAGCCCACTCGCCCGCCACAGGGACGGCTTCTGTGGCCGCACTCGTACACGATGTACCGGTGGTCGCTGAGTTTTTCCCTATGCGGGAGAACCGTCCAACCGGTCACGTGCAAGTGCAGTGACGGGGACACCAGCTTGACGTACACAACCGAGCTCGAGGTATTATCCTCAAACGTCGGGGTGGAGCCTCCGTTGGCCGACACCATCCTGAAGGCTGACATCAGGTCTAACAAGTCCTCGCCACGCGGGTTCGTGCCCGCTGACCAGCATTTTGGACCCCCTCGCGAAACCAAAATGTTTAAAAGTTTAAACTTCGCATTAACCGTACAAAACCGACATTTTTTTTTTAACATTGTCACTACAGTTATAAAATTATGTACTATTGTTTTATTCAATCAGTACGAAACATGTATTCACAACTCTTTTTTTAATAATTTATTTTTGTTTAAAATTAGATGTCGAATGTGAATTGAAAGATGATTCAGTCATACTAATTGAATATCCTAAGGGTATGGCACCATTTAATAAGTACATTTAATAACTCAAATCCTAAAACAATTTATAAACTTGTGTCTAAAATTTTGTTAAAATTGTTTTAATAAAAAATTGTGTATTTTTGCTTATTTAAACAAAGTGATGAATTTATTATGATCCATTTAATTAAATGAAATATAAAAAATCATATTTTTTTTTCTTTTAGGTACAGGTTTTTCAATATATTAATCATAAAATTTTATAAATATCAAACAATAACAAATTTTGAACTAGTATTTTATAAGTTATGAACAATTTTTATTATGGTGAGAGAAAGAGTACGGCTGATTACTGACTAGTGATAAAAATAACAACACCTGCATCTCACTTCTAGTCCACACTATAACATGTTCATAACTTCCAAAACACTGGTTCAATGATTATTATCGACCCGTAATTTTCTTAATTAGATCATTATCTATTTTATTAGCTAATTATGTATGTATATTGCCACTTAAACAAATAAAGTAGCCACCCTAAGTTATGAGCAATGATACTAAGTATCAAGCCAAGATAGGCTAAGTGAGTTACTGAGAAAATCACGGTGGACCTCTTTAATTAGATACCTCATACAAAAATTTGGGCTAACATTTTACAATAAGTATAATCACTTTTAGATAATTACAATACTATGAGGTAATTCCTTGCCATTGAATAGAATCATAAGTTAGTAGGATTTTAAGAGTATTTATTCCAAATAAAACTTTTTTTTTATTAATAACCAATAAAAAAAAAATTATATTTAAATTTTGTAAATTTTTGCAATTTTGAAAAAAATTTTCTTTTATTTAGTTATTTAAGTTATATATTTTATATTGATAAAATATTTGAAAAAAACAAAATACTCTTTGTATAGATAAAACGGCTAAAAACTATGAATATTATACCCGTATAACTTCGATGTCCTTAAATAAAATTTTTTTTTAACTTTTACTGGAGCTTTTTTATAAGTATGACTGAAATATAAAAAAATTTGGTGATAAAGAGTTACTCTAGTTACTCTAGTTACAGGGTATCAAATTTTATGAATTATATTGTTTCAAAACATTTTTATTAACTGTATTTTTATAGATATTGTAGCGAGGTGTAATATATAGAAGTAATAAACACTTTTACGATTTAATAACAACTATACTATATTACAACGAACTAACAAATAACAAATAACAGCGAGAAACGAAGCGCGTGTAAGACAGAATGCGTAAGTGATTGACTGATCGACTGACTGACTGGAGCGACGATCTTGCCCTTAAATAGTCAGAGGAATCTTCTAGAGGCGGCGTCGGAACTCTCTAGACATTCGACCGCCACACGCTTATGTAGAGCGACGAATCTTCTAGAGGCGGCGGCGGCCGGACATTCTAGAATATTCGACCGCCACACCACCTCCCTACGGAGTGGAGTTAGCTAGGGTCAAAAATGTCCGGGAATCTGACTCGGCGGCCTGAGCGAGTTGTTCGTACTGGCTGTGTTGATGGATCGGTATTAGGCGGTTGTTTCTGTTTGGTCGTATCCGGGGCAGTTGCTGGTGGAGCATGTGCCTGGCTAACGGTTGTGCTTTCGTTCACCATGAGGTAGGCAGGTTTTACTCTATCAATCGTCACCGTAACTGATTGATTTCGAACTTTTATTGTGAACGTTTTGTCATTTCGGGCAATTACTTCGAAGGGACCTTGATATGGCGGTTGAAGTGCTGCTCGGACACCTCCCTCCCTGAGAAATACGTGTGAACAGTCCTTAAGGTCCGCAAAAACAAATGATCGTGGATTTGAGTGGCGAGATGCAGGTACTGGACGAATTTTATTCATAACACTGCGAAGACGATCTAGTAAGCTAGTAGGGTCGTTCGTACTGCTATTATCTTGCTTGTCTGTGAAGAAATCACCAGGAAGATTAAGAGGCTCACCATAAACAAGTTCCGCAGACGTGGCTTTTAAGTTTTCCTTAAGCGCAGAACGTATTCCGAGAAGCACGATAGGCAGTGACTCAGTCCACGAGTCTTTTGCGTGGGCCATGATGG